GTCTTGTTCATCATTTCACTAATAGGTTAATTGAATGTTGATAAAAACAAAACAAACATGATGATGTCTTGGCAGTGGACATAGATTTGTTATCAGTGATACTTGTAAATAATTTAAATAAAAGATCTGTAGATATAATAGACATAGGTGATAGGCTATGTACAAACTAGGTGTTTTTAAACGCGCATTAGCAGCGTACACACCACACGTTAGCCCGGCGTTCAACGACCGTTTAGTGGAGCATACGCACTGGCTTAGTTTGGAAATGGACGTGTAAGTAATTGCTTGTGTGCACCTCCTCCATCGTCGCTATAAAAGACGATGGCAGAGGCAAAGAGAATTTTGGGTGCACCCAATATTACAAGATAGACTGACGCGTAAAATGTTTCTGACGTTGTATCCAAAACTAAGACAAAATGAAACTAAATTTTTTAATTCTTTTAAAATATCTATAAAATCATTTGACGATGGTTGGTCTCTTAGATTTCATCAATAAATAGATCAGTATCGAAATGATCGTTCTCCATTTCGGCCAACGTATGTCCACTCTACCCGAAAGCGCACGATCGAATGTACAACAACATGGCAGCACATATATCTCAAAGCGCGCGGCTGACGCCCACAAAACGCGCGTTCTAACAAAAATCTATCAACGCGCGCTTGGCCAAAAGAGCGCGTTTGAGTATGTACGCCTATGCAGAACTCTTGGTTCTTTAAAACATGCGTTTAAAAATGCCTAGTGTGTACACAGCCATAGTAAAAAGAATAAGAAATAAAAACTTATTTAAGGATTAAAAAAAAAGGAATTACAGTATTAGATTTTATTTTTTGTATTAATTATTAAACCAAACACCCAATTATCTGTGCTGATTATTGCACAAATATACACATAAAACCAGAAAACTTGGATAATCCAAAATAGCTCTCTGAACTATAAATAAACCAGTAACAGGTTGCTTGACTTTCCCAGGCATTTAAAATTTTGGTGGTGCCATCTGTTATCATATTTATTTTAAAATCTTTAATATTTTTAACTACTATAAAATGGCAAAAAGCTTAATTTTGAGGACAGGTATGAGTTTTATAAAAAATTCTAAGTGCTAGTAACGAGTAAAATTGTCATTAGGTCCAATTCTACTGGAATACACACAACCCCCAATACCTCCCTACCCCCTCAACCTTTAAGCATCAAAATTTAATATCAATAATCCCCCTAATAAACAAACCTTCCCGCCAAATTTCAGAAATTTTTGACAAAAAGCACAGAAGTTATTAAGCTTCAAACAGAGTGAACTAAATTGTGCCCCCCCCACACACTAACATCCATACATACAGAAATGACCCCAATTTTTGCATTTCTCGACATTTCAAGGTGTCCTAAGTCAAAAAATGTAAAAATCTGGGGAGGTCATTTTTTTTTCTGGAACGCCATACTTTCCCTCTGTATAACAGCTGAAAAAGAAAAAAAATCATTTAGAGATTTTAAATGAACTACAGTATATACAACTCAACTCTTAAAACATGATGGAAAAGTGAGTTCCAACTTTGATAAAGATGAAATCTATATTTAGTCAATAAACATAAAATGTAATTGGGCAATTTGAAAATATTATAGACCTATAAATTTCCACTGTCGTTCACTTGTCTGTCCATCTTTCCTTAACCTCAAGAACGGAGTTAGATAGATAAAAGACAAGACCCGATATGAAAACCTTAAGGTAGGAAGCACCAATTAACTATATACAAACTTCTGGTTTGGACCAGAAGTCACATTATTTCAATTCAAAACTTTTTCCCTGAAAGCAATTAATAGATGACTGGCATGACTCTATTGTTAAAGGAAAAGTATGATGTACAGGGGCAAGACACTACCATACTAATTTTATGTGGAAAGCATATGTTTTATATTAAAAATATTACTAAAAATTACAACCCAGCATTATGACGATGTCACAATAAATAATTGCAGGTTTCTTCAATTTTCAAAAATATCATATAGAAATTTAAATTTTACATTTGTATGTATAATTCTTACATTGTTTCTAATTTACTGTATGCATTTATTATTTTTACTGCATATTTTGCAATTTGATACTTTTAGGACTAAATAAGTCCTTTATAAATTTTATACCTTGTTTGCATGATTGCAAGTGCTATTTTTTCAAATGATCTATAGTCTAAGAACTATATTTTTCTTATCTGTGCAGTAAATCATTTTTGCACAGGTACAATTATGTGGGAAATATCACTCTGCCATCCAATTACAGATGAGCATGTAAAATTCAAATAGTTTACATTTGAACTGTTTAAAACTCACATTCTTTTAAAGTATTGCAAATAAACACATTTCATGTTTCCATGGAACTTAACAACACAAATAATCGGATATAAGTAAATTAAACCCACACAAAAATAAAAATAAAAAATTCAACAAGAAAATGCCAATAAACGATTTTAGCAAACATTTTCTCCCTGACGACAACCATTTAACATGGGAGAAAATGCTTCCTAAAGTTATTTATTAGCATTTTTCTGTTGGATTTTTTTAATGCTCAATTTAAGTTTCCATGGAAATCTTTCATTCTTCAAATTCTCATAATCTTTTACATTAATTGGATTAAAAATCATTGTACTGTACATGTTATATTTATTAATTTAATAATATTAAATTTAAGTCTTTCTGAAAATTATGTAAACACAGTATAATGTTTAATTAAATATAAAGAATATAATTTTTTGTGAGCAAACTAGTCAAACTTCCAGATAGTAATGAAAGAAAAAGATTTCATTGTATTGAGTTTGGTTCAACCTAAAATATAGGTAAAACAGCAAAAACGAATGCTTAACTGCTAAAAGGCAGTAACCACCAACATTTGGTTCCCAGACATTTGAATTTTTTAAATAACAGATGAAAAAATTCTTTATTATTTCTTAATCTATGCCACAATTATTTCTTGCTAAAAAAAACAGCTTCAAGTGTCTTAGCATGTTGAAATGTCCTTACATCAGTGCAACAAAAAGTATCAAAATGAGCCAAAACAGCAATTAATCACAGATAAGTTCTAGTTGCACTGAAACTAATTGTAGTAGAGTTCATAACAGCAGCTGGGAGAAAACATTACTATCAACTTTGACACTAAATCTATAATTAGTTAATAACTTTATAACAGCATTTTATCATTTCTGATCATTTACACAGGGCTATAAACAAAACTGTACAACTACTTAAGACCAGCAATGTATCTATAGAATGAGGGAAACTAGAATAACCCAGTCATACCCAAACATTTTGTATACTGTATATAGAAATAAATTCAACAACAATTGATTACATAACATAGAAAACTATAAAATTTTATTGAAAATGTATTATTATTTATAACTGACTTGATTGTATACCTCCTATATGAAACAAAACTCTGTGTTTTTTGAGGTAATATTTTTCAAATCTTGTTTCACCTATTGTCAGATGTTTATCCTTTCCCACTTAAAAAGTGCAATGTAATAGACATCTCCCTATTTTACCTTATATAGCAACTCTTGTAAACAGATTCTACCCAGTCAATTGCCCAATATTTTCTTTAATGTTAATGTCAATTTGTAACCAACAAGCAACCATGTAAGTTACATAAAAAAATTTTTTTAATATTAGGCCTATACATATTATTATGTATCATGTAATCCTTGTATATCTTTTTGTAAAGTCTAAGGACTGAAGAGGGTCATTAAGACCTGAAATGCATTTCCTCCAATAAAATCAATATCAACAAATGCTCCTTGTGTGATGTGTTACTGAAGAAAAAAAGCCCATAGCTTTTATTCTTTAAAATCAACAGTACAAAACCAGTAATGGAAAATTTACTTAATAGATATCAGTTAAGATTTGCTCACAGACAGAAGTAAAGTATGTATGCATTTCAAGCTACTAACTTTAGTGTATTTTACTGGCTTTTTTAACATTGATAATGCATATTTTGGGTATTTTAACAGGCATATATCTGGATTTTTATTGCATACATTGAAATTTTGAATACTTATTAGTGTTGTAACAAATAGTATATTCGGCCTCAGGCCGAATACCGAATATTTGGCCAAACTATTCGGCTCGATTAATGCACGTACGAAAATTGGCATGCAAGCCGCATTATGGCAAGGATCCTGCTCTCCATTGGCCCGCTGTCACCACGCTTTGCCAATCGCGTTAATTCTTGGCAGTTGTAGCGGACAGACAACAGTGTCATGGAAGTATGTGATAAATGATGATATCAAATGTGTATAACAATGAAATGACCTAAACGTGTAAACAACGGGAAAAAAACAGAGAAGGACCGCAACGTGAAAATAAATAAGAAATTGAGTTGATAACATAATCG